TGTTAATTTTGTTTACTATCTATCTATCACCTCCAGAAGTAAGTTCCCCCAGGGCAGTGAATTAGTGAGACTCCCAAAAGGAAATAGATGGTACATTTAAAACAGTTTGAGAATGATTTACTTGTAAAGAGACTATTTACAAAACTATGAGTATAGGGGAACCCACATGGATAGTAGCAGATGAGCTGTTGCAACCCAAGCCTGAAGAGGAAAGGGAAGTTCTTAACCAAACCGAAAGGAGAGAACTATACAGAACTCACCTTGAGAAAAGCTTTGAAGGTTTGTGCAGCCTGAGGCAACCTCCCAGGGATTTTGGAATGTTGAATGCTGTGAAGACAATCCAGTGGAGAGATGGGGGGAAAAAAAGATTTGGTGGAGGAGAGGGATAATAATTGTAAGAAAAATGTCCTTAAATGATTCTAATATACAGTAACTTGGGATATGATCAAAGTTGTCTTATATGTAATCAGGAAAAGAATGGGCTATCTAGGGCAGCCCGGGTGGCTCAGCGGTTTAGCGCTGTCTTTAGCCCAGGGCGTGATCTTGGAGACGAGGGATTGAGTCCCATGTTGGGCTCCTTGCATGGAGCCTGCTTCTCCCTCTGACTGTGTCTCTGCCTCTTTCTCTCTGTGTGTCTCTCATGAATAAATAAAATCTTAAAAAAAAAAAAGAATGGGCTATCTAATAAATGATGCTGAGGCAAACTTTTTCCATAAAAAATATAAAATTAAACCCCACCCTCATAGTACAAACAAAAATAAATTCTAGATGGCATAAAGGACCAAACATAAAAAGCACAACTTAGTGCTCAAAGGAAAATGTATTAGAACATCTTTATGACAACAGAGTAGAAAAGAACTACTTAAAAAGGTACAAAAGCAAAATAAATAAAAGATCTTTTAAAATGGATACACTAAAATAAACTTCCATACTACTTTCAGGTTTATTATAAATAGTGTTAAAATACAAGTCACATTATGGAAGAAGACATTTACATCACAGATAACAGGATTAGCACCCAAAATATATAAAAAGGAATCAATAAGAAAAAGCCAGACAATCCCAGAGAAAAAAGTGGACAAAGGATATGAACACATTCATAAAGGAAAACTGTAATGATTAATAAACATAAGATGATCTACCTCACCTGTAATCCAGAAATGCAATTAAAACATGATGCCATTTCATATCCATCAATTTGACAAAAATGAGAAACCATATATAAGGATATGGAAAAATGGGACTGCTCTCACAGTGTTGACTAGAATATAAATTGTACAACTACTTTAAAGAACAATTAAAAAATTCCTGAAAGGGGACACCTGGGTAGCTCAGCGGTTTAGCGCCTGCCTTCAACCCAGGGCATAAGCCGGGAATCCTGGGATCGAGTCGCACATCGGGCTCCTTGCGTGGAGCCTGCTTCTCCCTCTGCCTGTGTCTCTCATGAATAAATAAATAAAATCTTAAGAAAAAAATTCCTGAAAGGATTTATGTATATACCTCATGAGTCAATGGTCCTGCTTCCTCATATAAATTCAGATAAACTTTGGGTACAAGAATCCATGTGCTGGAGTTTTGGTAAATTTGTTTGCAATTTCAAAAAACAAGATAATACTATTGTTCAAGAGACATGGATAAGTTAGTCATTCTTATAATGGATTGAGACACAAAAGACCCAGAAATTTATGCAACAAAATAGATAAATCTCAAATAAAAAAAATAGATCTCTAAAACCTAATGTATGATGAAAGTAAATTACAGAATACATGGAACATAACACTATTTTCATTTTAAGATCTCAAAACAACATATTGAATATACACATATTTGGCAAAAGTATAAAAATAAGTATGGGAGTGATATCCACCAGTAGTAAAACAGTAATTATACCTGAAAAGAGGAGAAAGAAAAGGAAGTGGGACTTCAGCTTTTTAAGACTTTGTGACTTATAAGGAAGGACATCTTTAAACAAATATGGCAAAATGTAACCTCTGTCAAATGTGGGAATGAGATTCATGAGCATCTGATATTCTAGATGCTAAAATTTGAACTATTTCATAATTAGGTTTTAAATAAATCAGTAGTAGGAACGCCCGGGGTGGCTCAGTGGTTGAGTGTCTGCCTTTGGCTCAGGGTGTGACCCCTGGGTCCCTGAGTCCCCACAGGGAGCCTGCTTCACCCTCTGCCAATGTCTCTGCCTTTCTGTGTGTGTGTGTGTCTCTCATGAATAAATAAATAAAATCTTTTAGAAAATCAATCCCTAGTAGCTTAAGTACTGTACTTTAAAAATTAAACATTGTTTTACTCACTGAAAAAAAAATTTAAACATGTATTAGTTACCATAATAAAAATCCCCAATTTACCAGTCTTTTCACCAAATCTCATTTTTGTACCTAACTACAATTGGCCCTTGAACAACAATGGGGGTTAGGGGCACTGAACTCCTCACAGTTGAAAACTGACACATAACTTTTAATTGCTCCAAAACCTAACTACTAATAACCTCCTTGTTGGCCCTACTAATAACATAAATAATTAACATATATTTTGTTATATGTATTATACACACAATTTTAATAATAAGGTAAGCTAGAGAAAAGAAATTATTAAGGAAATCACAAGGACAAGAAAATACATTTATAATTCTGTACTCTATAAAAAAAATAAGGCCCACATAGAAGTGCACCTGTAAGTAGTTCAAGTCCTTGTTGTTCAAAGGTCAACTGTACTAACATAAAGCATATGTATTTTTTTAAAAGTATGTAGATTTTTATTCATTTGTATGTATGTGTGTGTATATGCATAAATGTGGGCAAAAATACTTTTTTTTTTTAAGATTTTATTTATTTATTCATAGAGATGCAGAGAGAAAGAGAGAGAGGCAGAGACACAGGCAGAGGGAGAAGCAGGCTCCATACAGGGAGCCCCATGTGGGACTCGATCCATGGTCTCCAGGATCACGCCCTGGGCTGCAGGTGGCGCTAAACCTTTAGCTGCACCACGGGGGCTGCCCCAAAAATACTTTTTTGAATGTAAATGGCTTCATAGAGAACATATATTCTGCGACTTGCTTTTCACTTGATGGTATATATATTTTGCACTTATCTTTTCAACACCTGCATAATATCCTAAAGCTACACTTCCTGTAATTGTTTCCCTAAATTTGGAAATTTAGGGTGTTTTCAATTTTTTAAGATTATAAACAATGCTACAGAAATTCCCGTACATATCTCTGAGTGTTCATTTATTTAGTACTCTTGTGTGCTATGGAGATAAAGACTGACAAACACGCCCGTGCCTGGCTGGGCCGGGTGGAATAAGTCCTCCACCCGTTACTGAGACACAGAGTAGTCATGTTGCCTCAGCAGCCAAGGGCTGGTGCTGGTTTTGGGAGGCTCTGGAGATGGAACAATAGACTACGTCTGTGCCAGGACAGGCTTTTGGATGACCCAGGAGTGGGGAATGACAGGAGATCAGGAGTATCCCCAACTGTAGGACACTTGCCCCACCACCCTGTTGTCTCTCGCTCAAGTCTAAAACACAGTCTTAGAAGGGTTTTCCTCTGGTAGAGAGTCTTAGTCCACTTCCTGGAAGATTATGGTTTCTTAAATTTTAATGTCAGTTTTCCCTTCAAAAAGGCCCTATCACTTATATCCCTTCCAGAAATTTATGAGATTCCCCATTTCCTCACAACCATGCTACCTTTACAAATAATGGATATGATCAGTTTAACTTTTGCAAATTTCATAAACAAACTTTCATTTTAATTTACATTTTTCTGATCACTAGAGAAACAATAATTCTTCTTTTGTGAACTTTATATAATTTGTCCATTTTTCACGGAGTTATCTTTTACTGAGTCATAGGAGCACTTATATCTTAAAATTATTTTGATCATTATGTTGGTGGCAAAAACCTCTAAACTTTATAGTAGCTTTCACAGAGTACAGAAATTTACATAGATTTATCTATAAACATAAATCTTCAATTTTTTGGGATTTTGATAGATCATGTTTAAACTGTTCATGTCCATAATTTTCAATTGTCTCATCTAGGAACATTGTATGTCTTTTATTTTAAGTTACAGGTTTTTTTTTTTTTAAGATTTATTTATTCATGACAGACATAGAAAGAGAGAGAGAGGCAGAGACACAGGCAGAGGGAGAAGCAGGCTCATGCAGGGAGCCCGATGTGGGACTTGATTCCAGGTCTCCAGGATCACACCCCGGGCCGAAGGCAGTGCTAAACCACTGGGCCACCGGGGCTGCCCCAGTTTTTTTTTTTTTTTTTTTTTAAGTCTATTGCTATTTTATAGTTTTGTCTGCTAATATAAACAGGATTTTTTTCTTATATATACATAAAAATATATATATCTTGAAGAAAATTTCAAAGCCACTGGTTTTAATAAAATAAACATGTTACTTTATTAACATTATTATTAATTATGTTAATCTTTACTGCTCCTAATAGTAAGTTTATTTAAAAAAATCTGTTGAGATATTCAAATTAATGTGAATAAAGAATGGGACATAGGATTAATAAAATTCAAGAAAAAAAAACTAGGAACTGCTAAAAATGTTCAGTGATACTGAAATAATTTAAAAACATTAAGTTAACCTAAGTCAGTCAATTTTTCTCCATATATATAATATAGATACTTAATGAAACAATAGTAAGTCAGGGAATTTACCAGTGACTGCGTTGTAACAACTTTCAGCATTAGATTCTAAGAGCAAATTTCAAATATGAAACAACTTTTTATGTAGGTACAATTTCCACATAAATAAAGCTAAACATGGGAGATGAAAAATTAATGTAGCAAACCTTTTGACATGCATAAACCATTTCACAGACTACTAAATACTTTATATATATATATATATATTTTATTGGAGTTCGATTTGCCAACATATAACACCCAGTGCTCATCTCGTCAAGTGCCCCCCTCAGTGCCCATCACCCAGTCACCCCGTCCCCCCATCCACCCCCCTTTCCACTACCCTTTGTTCGTTTCCCAGAGTTAGGAGTCTCTCATGTTCTGTCATCCTCTCTGATCTAAATACTCTTCTTACAAGTATAAGAAGGCATTAAACATAGTCAATGACTTCATGTCAAATATAATATGAAGAATTTAGAAAAGTCTTTGATCTCCTAAAATCATTTTATTATTTTTAAATTAAATTATTTTAAAATATGACATTTTATATCCAGTATGGATATACCTATGTTTTGCCAACAAACAAAGCATGCATTAAGAATCCTACAAAAATTAAAAACCCTGTATCATCATTGAATGGGAGAAGAAACACACTCCCAGAGAACACAATGTTCACTAAGAAAAGAGAATGGTAAAAATACACAGATAAAAGAGAAACAAGAAGAATATTAAGTACAATTTTATAGTTCCCACCATTTAGATGGTAGGATGGCAAGCTGTTTTGTGATACTGCCAATCACATCAGGGATGGATGGGACATGTGGAAGAAGAGCCATTTAAGTTTTATTGATTAAAATGGGAAGAATGTAGCCACATAATACATTTTCACAATAAAGTCTAGCTGTGGTCTAAGTACACTATTTCTCCTAAGGCTGTATTATATAGTTTGATTAAGGTCATTATTTCCTAAAAAAAAAATAAAGGATTTCTTTATTCTACAGTGATCCTAGGTGATTTTGATATTTTATTCATCTATCCTTGAAAGACTTATTAGAAAAATGTCTTTACAGGAACAGAGAGATATATTCTATTTCTGAGAGGAAACCAAATAATTATTTCTTAGCTATAGAAATAATTTCAGTGCTTTAGGAAACAAAGGCCACTTTCTGTTGAGAGTTGGCACACACTATGATTTTTTTTTGACCAATTTAATGTTTGTGGGACTAAACAAATTTAATCTAATAATTTCAATCTGTTTCATTTCACAAGGGAGGAAAATCTACCAGTTTGTCAAAACACTGCATTCTTAGTTAAGAACAAAATACTCTTCAAGGTCAAAGGGAAATGAATATGACATACCTCCTGAGCATTTATTTTAGTTCATAAAGTTTGATTTTCAAAACAAATGACATGTCTTATCTAATGCTGTTTAGAAATATTTAACTATGTTCTGCAGTTTTCAACAATGTTCTCTTAATGTGAAATTTAATTATGAGACTTTAATTCATTCATTTTCAAGAAGCTAGTTCTGAAATATGTGCATTTCTAAAACTTTTGCCAGTGTCATATATTTAAGATTAAAAACTACAAAGACTTGATTTTATACTCATTGCTTCTGAGTTGGTGCATCACAATATGGCACATTTTCTACAAGGAGTTCTTTCCTAGGGACCAGTTCTGAAAGAAAAACAAAAAGTAATTGATATCATTAAAATTAAAATAAAATGAATATACACTCTTCCTCCTAACATTTGTTAACAGTAAAATAATGAATTTTAAGGTAAATCTTCCAGAAATATTTTCAGTTAACATCAAAGGTAAAGTCCTTGATTTTAAATGGAGACTCTTAACAGGATTCTCATTTCAGATTCTATTAAAATATATATGATCAACTTAACCCTTTATCATTTATTTATTAAATATAACTAATTACTTGAACAGAATTCTGCTAATACACATTAGCACCTATCTGATGACAGATTACTGAGAATTAAAACAATCAACTTGAAAATTTGTTAAACTGCCTACTATATAAAAAGCAAGACCATTTTCCTAATTTAAAGATTCTAAATTTTACTGAATAGTGGTTCTCAAATGGGGGTATTTTCGGTTGTCACACCAAGTGAAGAATGCTGCTGGCATTTAGCGAGCAGGAGCCAGGGATGTATGGGACAATCTGGTGCTGTAAAGAACTATGTTGTTTAAAATGTCAACAGTGCCTTACTGAGAATCCCAGTTAAACAACAACAACAAAAAAATCTTACTGGAGGGATGCCTGAGTGGCTCAGTGGTTGAGTGTCTGCCTTCTGCTCAGGGCGTGATCCCAGGATCCAGGATTGAGTCCCGCATTGGGCTCCTTGCAGAGAGCCTGCTTCTCCCTCTGCCTGTCTCTGCCTCTCTCTGTGTGTCTCTCATGGATAATTAAATAAAATCTTAAAAAAAAAATAAAAATTATATAAAAAAGCTTACTGGAGATCAAGTGAGATATAGCTCTTAATTAAAATACAAAATTTTGTAAAGATCAATGATTTTTCCTTTTTTTCTCTAGAAGAGCTGAATGATTAAAAAAATGCTCATATCACATTCTATGAAATAACTTGGATATAGTCTTCAAAAATATCCAGGGTCACGAAAGACAAAGAAAGACTGATTGCTTCAGATTAAGGAAGACTAAAAAACATGGTAACTAAATGTTATTTGTGTGATTCTCAACTGGATCCTAGGCCAGAGCGAATTTTTCTTCTTTTACAGAAAACAAGTTAGGACAAATGAAAACATTTGAATGATCGAGTTGTATCTGTATTAATATCCTGGTTTTGGTAATTACATTGTGGTTTTATAAGGGAATATCCTTGCAAATTTAGCAAACATATATGTAGGTATTTTTTAAAAATGCACTCTTTCTCCAAAACCAATCCTAGTGGGCTGTCATGATTTTAAAAATGACCATTTGGGGTAAAGAAGCATTATGTTTACAATTTATCCTCAGACCATTCAGAAAAAAATTGAAGGAGGGATAATAAAGCAAATGTGGTAAATGTTAGCATTTATGGAATCTGGGTAAAGAAAATTTCTATACCCTTCAACTTCTCTTACATCTTTCCTGTAAATTTGAATTATTAAAAAATTTTTAAAAGGTATCACTAAAACAAATTCAAAAGGAAAAATAACTTAAAAATAATGTTATGAGCCAGATTATAATTGTGGTTTACCAAAATGAAAACCAGCTAAGTCATTATTATTTAGCCATTGTTTATATCTCATCTACTACCAATCTTTGGTGATACCACCAGAGAGCAAATTATAGTTTAGGTTTAAACTTATTAGCAATGGCAGTAAATTGTTTCACTTATCAAACACATACGTGCCATTTTATGCTGAACATCACCAAATGAAGATGCAGAGGTGAGTATCTAAGTCTCTTCAGCACAGCATGACTACAGTCAATAATATTGTATTGCATATCTGAAAGCTGCTAAAAGAGTAGATCTTAAAAGTTCCCAAGAGAAACAATTTGTAACTATGTACCTAAACAGACATTAACTAGACTTACTGTGGTAATCCTTTTGCAATATATATATTGAACAGAGGGGACTCGAACCTCCCCTGCTGAGGGCTGCATGCTACTGCGTTTAAATTGCTACCTTGGCTCCTGGCAGCACTTGGAGAGCAAGTCTAATAGGCCCACATGTAATCTGCTGTGAAAAACCATTTGTATAGTGTGTTTCATTTTTTAATGTGTGAAAATAAAGAAAATTAAAGGGAAAAAAAAGGAATCATGTTGTACAAATGAAACTATTATTTTCAATTATACCTCAATTTTAAAAGTAGGAGATTTAATTTTCTCAAATATCAAGAAATACAGATTAAGGCAGTCCTGGGCTACTTCATACCTCAGGTCTTTGCTACCACTAAGAAGCCAGGCTCTTTTTACTTTTTTCCTAATCATTGTTCTGTACAGGTAGCCACAGGCAAACATCCTGATAGTTCTTAAGCATGAAGATTTTCATCCTTTGGTAATGGTCTCTGTGTTCTGCCCATTCCCCCAACTCTAAGATTAATGGATACTTCTTAAAGTAATGAAAAATTACAGGCCTCAGTAAGTAAACGAATTGTATGTATATCTGCTCTTTTTCTGGCAAATGGAAATTGCTTGAGGCACTGATTTTATTTCATGTCAGAACTCAAAAGCCACCTGTCTGTACTGGCTATGGGGTGAGTGGGTAAGAGCAATTCTCATTTTCAACACTGCAAGACTGTAAATCTCAAGTATTGGACTTTCAATCAGATAGAAAAAGTGCCCTTAGCAAAAAAGTACTTCCTTCCATATTTGCTTTGCACCAACTAGCTTAATCTGCATTCATCCTCTTTTTCAATGTTTTGCTGAAGGCAGGAAGAAATAACCAGAACATCTTGCCATTCTGGTTATTTCTCTTATTTCTGTAGCCTCAGCTGGTCCTTGGTCTGTGTCTCAAGAAACACAATGAGCCACTGACCTTATGTTTCATTACTACATAATGAGGACCATCAGCGTAAAGGTTTAAAGGTCAGGTCCACATAGTGCTATCTCCCCTCTAGTTTTTTGCCTTCCATTCAACTAATTCCACATTTTAGGTTATGTAATTTTCTGTATCCTACTTCTGATAACAACTTCTATTGTTCTTAGTTAAAAGAAACAGAAGCTGACTCTGGCTGATGAAGCAGAAAAGTCATTATTAAAAAGGTTATTAGTCTAACTCATGCAATTATTTTAAGGGTTTAAGCATCAGGCAAGCTTTAGGCTAAGCTTCCAGGAACAACGTATAAAAGTTATACTGCAAAACTGGCCTGATAATGAAAGCTGCTGGTGCCTACTGGGCACTAAAAGAAACTGCCACCACTTATACTACCATGGAAAACAAGATATTACATTTCAGACGCTGCTGGAAACTCAATTTTACTACATCTACTCCTGCCACCACACCTATGCCACTTCTCAATCAGTAACTTGACTCTGCAACCACTGATACTACTTCTGCTTGCAATAGAGATTCTAAGCCAACCCTCTTTTCTCAAGTTCATTTCTGAATATAAGTATACTGCACCTATATCAAATTCTATGCCTGAGGTATAAAGAAAACTGAGGAACTGAATTTCCTACATTTTATAATGGGAATTTAGAACTCAGCAAGATGGATATCCCTGAAACAAAATTATCAATTCAAAGAGTGGTAAATAACCAGAAAACTTGCCAAAATTCACTACTCCATCCCTTTATCCAATTCACTTTAAATGATTTTTGAAATCAAAACTGCCTTACAATTGAATTTTTCTTTTTTTTTTTTTTTTTTTTTAATTTTTATTTATTTATGATAGTCACAGAGAGAGAGAGAGAGGCAGAGACACAGGCAGAGGGAGAAGCAGGCTCCATGCACTGGGAGCCTGATGTGGGATTCGATCCCGGGTCTCCAGGATCGCGCCCTGGGCCAAAGGCAGGCGCCAAACCGCTGCGCCACCCAGGGATCCCATAATTGAATTTTTCTAAATTAACTCCTAGCACTTTCATTAGGCCAAATATATCATAGGCATATTTACATGCTGTTATGCTATTTTTCACTGTAATACTGTTTTATGGATTATAAAATCCCTGATTTTGCTCTCTGTATTAGACATCAATGTATCATAACAACATAAGTTTACTGAAGTTGTCAAATCTTGAAAAAGAACTATACTGAGATCCTGATTTATTTCCTCTACTTTAGGCCCCGGAAAAACCTTATCTATTATGGTCATATGAAATATAACAATTAAAAAGCAATTTCGTCAAATAAAAAGCCTTTAATTCACTTGTGGCCCAAATCAAAATATAGGTCAAAATTAAAAATAAATAAATAAAAGAGGAAGGAGTATTTCTTTTTCTTTTTTAAAAAAGATTTTATTTGTTTATTTGAGAGAGAGAGAGAGCATGAGCTGAGTGAGGGGCAGAGGGAGAAGCAGACTTCCCGCTGAGCAGGGAGGTGGACGTGGGGTTTGATCCCAGAACTCCAGGATTATGCATAACCTGAGCCGTAGGCAGATGCTCCACCAACTGACCCACCCAGGTGTGTGAGTAACGAATATGTCCAAACTCTATGAAGCCAGAATTACTCTGATACCAAAACCAGACAAAGACACTATATGAAAAGAAAACTAGAGGCCTAGATTTATTTATTCAACCAATGTTTGTCGAATCACATGAACTTGTCTTAGAACAAAAACCGTAAGATAGTTTTAGGCATAGACATATATGAAAAACCACAGAACAGAAGTTTAAAAATGCACCTGAAATAAAGAATAGTTTCCTGGAACTTTTTTTTAATGTAACACTCATGTATTTTGTTTGTCTCAATATATGTAAGAGAAGAAGTTAAAAAATATGGATAATGCTGTTTAGAAATGAAGTATGATTAATATATAGCCACATGAAGTCCTAAGTTTTCTTGTTCACAAATGTTCATCATACATTTTCTAATTCACAAATTTGGTGACTGTCTATAAAATACATGTTTGATAAAGGTCAACAATGAAACCAGCTGCCAATGTTCATATGGGAAAGAGGGCTTCCACAAATGTCAATAATCAATGAACAGTGTAAATCAAGGGGATAAATTCAATACTTTTGTAAGACATAGTTATTATTTTTCTATGCACTATCTAGGAAGGATAGGCTAAGACCAATGATGAAAATGATATGAATCAAAGATTATGATCAATCCAAATGCATGTACTTGAGATACCAAAAACAAATACACAAATAAACAAGCTACACACATAAAAAAGTAGAGGATAAATGGAAAGAAGAGTTTCCCTAACATTTTTTCTTTGTCCTGCCCCCAGTTTCCTCAATATTTAAAAAAGATTTTAGAAATAATGAATCAACAAAACTAAAATTCAACCTATGGAATGGGAGAAGATATGTGCAAGTGACATATCCAATAAAGGGTTAGAATCCAAAATATATAAAGAATTGATACAACTCAACACCAAAAAATCCAATTAAAAATGGGCAGAAGATATGAACAGACTTTTCTTCGAAGATATACAGATGGCCAATAGAAATGAAAAAGATGGTCAACATTACTCATCATCAGGAAAATGCAAATCAAAACCACAATGAGATCTCACCACACGCCTGTCAGAAGGGCTAAAATAAAAAAGACAGGAAACAAAAAGTGTTGAGGATGTGGAGAAAACAGAACCTTCAATCATTATTGGTGAGAATGCAAACTGGTGCAGTCATTGAGGAAATATGGACATTTCTCAAAACATTAAAAATAGAACTACTCCATGAGCCAGTAATTCCAATAGTGGGCTTTTACCCAAAGAATAAGAAAACAATAATTCAAAAAGATATATGCACCCCTGTGTTTAGTGCAGCACTATTTACAATAGTACATAGGTAGAGGGAGAAGCAGGCTCCCTGCGGGGAACCCGATGCAGGACTGGATCCCAGGACCCTGGGATCATGACCTGAGCTAAAGGCAAACACTCAATCACTGAGCCACCCAGGCACCACTGTTTACTGCTCTTATAAATACAACTCAGATCTAATAATTTCTGATATATTCTCATGAACTAAAAATAAAGCTCTGTAGGACTTATGCTATTAAATATGAAGATTTATTATGAGGTTGCAATTATCAAGACATTATGACATATGATTCATGGATAGAAACACTAATTAGAGAATAAAGTTCAGAAACAGATATATGCAAATCACAATGCACTAACATTACACAACCACCGGAAAGGCTAACATTCAAGAGATAAAGAGTACCAAGTGTTGGTGAGGGTGTCAAGCAACTGGAGCCAGAGACACTGCTGCTGGAAGTGTAAATTAGTCTAACCACTTCGGAAAACTGGTTAGCAGTATCATACATTAATTTTGACAATTACAGTGGAGTATTACAAATGTATTTTTCTCTTATGATTTTAATATTCTTTTCCCTAGCTTACTTTACTGTAAGACTATAGTATATAATATATATACAAAACATGTGTTAATGTACTGTTTATGTTCTTGGTAAGGCTTCTCATTAATAGTTGGCTAACAGGGGCTAAGTTTTTGGGTAGTTAGAAGTTAAATAAGAATTCTTTTTTTTTTTTTTAAAGAGAGAGCAAGCAATTAAGCAGGGGGTAGGGACAGAGAGAGAATCTTAAGTAGGTTCCATGTCCAACTCAGAACCTGATGTGGGGCTCTTGTCCAAGACTCTGAGATCATGACCTGAGCCAAAATCATCAGATGTTTAACCAGTTGAGCTACCCATGTGCTCCTATACATTAATTTTCTAATGTGCAGAAGGTTAGCAACTCTAGCCCCTGCACTGTTCAAGGGTCAACTGTACACACACACACACGTAAATGTTTATGTAAATATATGTAGAAAATTTTATTTTTCATATATGTATAAATTTTAAACCAAAAGGCACATTCAATAATGTTCAAGGAATCAATATTCATTATAGTCCAAAACTAGGAATAACCCAAACAACAGGAAGGATAAACTGTGGTATATTTAATCAGTATTTTTTTTTAAATATTTTATTTATTTACTCATGAGACACAGAGAGAGGCAGAGACATAGGAAGAGGGAGGAGAAGCAGGCTCCATGCAGAGAGCCTGATGTGGGACTCAACCCCAGGACCCTGGATTCATGACCCGAGCCAAAGGCAGATGCTCAAACGCTGAGCCACCCAGGTGTCCCTATTCAAACAATATTTATAGAATTGTTACGATAGAACAATACAGATGAATCTCCCAAATACAATGTTGAGAGAAAGAAACCAGACAAAATAGTAATCCTATATGATTCCATTTACATGAAGTTCAAACATTTTATTATATTAAATTAAAAATCTACAGTATTAACAGTTAGGATAGTGGTTAGCTTGTTGGAAGGCGGTATCTGGAAGGGACATGAGGGGCTTTGGGGATGTTGGTAATATTATTAAATAGCTTACTGTGGATGTTGGTTACATGGATATTTCACTTTGTGAAACAGGATGCATAGTTACAAATTGTGCACTTTTCTGTTTGTATGTTATACTTCAATAGTTTACTTTAAAAAAAGAGAAGGCTTTCAAAAATTTGAGTATCATTTTTGTTGTTGTTGTTGTTGTCTCCAAAGACACGTTAGGGAAATTTAAAAAAATGTAACGTGAAATAAAAATTCTGCTGAAGCCCTATAAACAGTCTGGAGGTATAATGGAGGATCCTCAACTATATCTCTATTTCCTAGAATTATTTTTAAAATAACTCTAATCATAGAATAAAAGGTAAAGAACTAGATAGTCTAGGCACATGATAAATGGTAAATATTAAGAACCCCAAATATGATGAAAAACAAGTCATACTGTCTTTTCACTATAGTTCTGTAATGTAACCAGTAGTTAAGATTAAAAAGAAAAAGTAAACTTAAAAAAGAAAAAAAAATCTAGTACAAAAAAAGAAAAGTTTCATAATCTAGCATTTCTAAATAGTAGCCTTACAAAAGTACACAAGATATACTGCATTGTCTGGCAAAATCAAGCTGTTTTACTAATCAGCATTAAAAGTGCTACAGTTGCTCAATATTTTAAAATGCAATGAAGTCAGAAAACATTTTTCTTTAATTTTACTTACTTAGTGTATTGTGGTCTGTGTGAATACCTTGTATAACAGATGTTCTGAGTAACAATTCAACATCGGAACCTATTTTTATTAGCTGTTAAGAAACCAAACAGAATAAATCCTTTGGGTATTTTTTTCAATGGTCCATATGAATGCACTGTTTTTGAAAATTGTAGATTTACTGTTATTTCTTTTTTGGTAATGCGGCCTTTAACTTACCATTTCAAGCATACAGAAAACTCAGACATGTGTGTACTTTTAACTTTTATCCATCTGTTCTGTATTTTGTTTCTAAATAGATTCAGAGTATTTTTTGTTAGAATATATATTTTATGTTTAAAATTCTGTTTTCTTTTTCTTTTGGAGGAGATTGAATCTTTTTTTTTTTTAAGACTTTATTTATTTATTCATGAGCGACAGAGAGAGAGGCAGAGACATAGGCAGAGGAAGAAGCAGGCTCCATGCAGGAAGCCTGATGTGGGACTCAATCCAGCCATTCCAGGATCACACCCTGAGGTGAAGGCAGGCGCCCAACTGCTGAGGCACCCAGGCATCCCTGAATCTTTTTTTATACAGTTGGATATTCTAAACACTAGGAAAAACAAAACAAAACAAAACACTAGAAATAATACTGAATTAGGAGTTGGAACACTTGGATTCCATAAATGGCTCTATCATTAAGTATAAGGCTTTGGATTAATAACTAAGTTTCAGTACTTATATGCAAAATGAAGAAGTGGACTAGAACAAAGATTCTCAAAGCTGAGGATCCCTGAGGGACCCTGAGACCCTTTCAGATACCATGAAGTAAAAATGATTTTCTCAACAGTAGAGCTTTCTGCATTGTTTGAGTTGTGAGCAGAAGTAGAACTTGCTCCATGGAATACCATTTTATATGAATGAACCACAGAAAAAGTATGATCATTCAGACTTGGGTATATGGCAAGCATTTCCTTGAAAATGAACGAGCTGACTCTGTTATTTCAATAAAACAACTGTATTTGCTAACAATAATGAAATTCAAGTTTTCAAGAAAAAATTAGAATTCTAGGGAAACTGTATCTGCCACTATGAGCTTGATAGTTTCTGAATAATTACAGATTTTTCTGATAAGATAGATATTAATATTAATAAGTACAATTTTAAAATATTATATACTGAACTATGTGAACATTTAGAAGATATGTATACTTGGTGAACCTATATTTTCAAAATCAATGGTACAAGACGTTACAAAATCATGCATGGTTAAAAATCTATTCAAAGAGAAAGATAGATTAAATCTATTGTCTAGTAAATGAAGACTTGAGGGCAGCAGAAGAACATCCTAGGAATAAGCAAGAGCATAAATGCCCTGAGATAAGAACATTCTTGGTAAATTCAAGCACCCTCAAAGAACGCACTGAGACTGGAAGAGTAAGAGGGATGGAGTGAGCTAAGGTGGGAAGTTAACAGAAGTCAGATGATAGAGTCTTATAGGTCATATTAGGGACTTTAGATTTTACTTTGGGATGAAGCTAGGGGGTTGTGAGTACAGGAGTAATGTGATATGCCTTCTTATTTAGAAGGCTCAATCTGCCTTTAAAAGTACTGAGAATAAAAAAAAAAAAGTACTGAGAATAGGATGTAGGGAGTTAGAGAGGAAGATGGGAGACTCACTGGGAAACTGTTGTAACAATCCAGCGAAAGACGATGGTGGCTAACTAGGAGGTAATGATGGGGATGATGATAAGTGGTTGAATTCTGGATATATTTTGAAGGTTAAGAAGGTTAAGCCAAGAATATTGGCTGACAGGTTGGATATAAGTTCGAGAGAAAGACAGCAATCAAGAAAAAGAACACCAAGTTTTTTGGTCTGAGCATTAAAAAGAGGGAGCTGCCATTAACTGACATGGAGAAGACGTGGAAGAGCAAAACTTCATCTCCTAACAGGATGTGAGAAGGGACTTAGGAAGACAAATAAAAATGGGCCTCCTTATCCATTGAAGGTACATAAACTGAATTGACTCATAAGTCGAAGGCAAGAAACAAGGCTAAAAAAAAAAAAAAGAAAAGAAAATAAATAAGGCTAGATGAGGAATAAGGGATAAGGGAAAAGCATAAAGGATGAGCAGGTGATAGTCTATATGAATCCTGGAGCCAAAAAAAAACAAAAAACAAAAACAAAAACAACTCCCTAAACAATCTCTTATCTACCTATTTACCTCTCCCCACCCATTCATCTAACAGGTAACGGAGTTCCACAATGCAATTAACCTATAAGGAAGTTTACCATTTGTTGAGGTGTAGTATCAAAGAATATCCACAATTTATTTAAAATTTATGTTCCTACCCTTTCCCAACTACTTATCTGTGTGAAGCTCAATTTTCTTCATGTGTTGCAAACATTGCACCAGATTGAATAAGGAACTATGTAATGAACTTACTACGTTTAGACAACAAATATGTATTTCAAAAACTTGTTTTAATTTCTACTACAGTAAATATGGAAAGACATACCACATGAACTACACTTTTTGGGGTCTTCAACTTTAAGAAGGTAAAAGGGTCTGGAGACCAAACAGTTTGAGAACTGCTGGTGAAAAAGATGCCTAAGATTCTTTTTAGTGCCAAGATTTCATGAACCCTACAATACACAACAATGTAATTATCTAAAACCTACTAAATATTTAATCTATGCAGAATTATAAAACATACAATATACACATTTGTATATAATAAATACCTCATTTCTAGACTGCTTAAGGTTAAATTAGTGCTTTACAAGTAAAAGGAATTTAGAAGACTAGTTCATTTCCCAGTTTAGTTGATATAAAGACATGTCAATTAAAAAATTTGTTATGATTTCAAAATTTAAAAAAATAACCATATTGTTATTAATCAGCCTACTGAGTAGCAAATTATACAAACTTTTGTATACGTCTTTTAATTTCTCTTCCAGTTACAACTTGATTATGATGTCTCTTAATTTTTCCTGTGAATAAAAATTACACCACCCGTTTGCCTTATCAAATGGTTATACGAAATCTTTCCCTTTCATTCTTTTATCACTTAGGCTATCTCATTTTGACTCATTAAATTGATTATTACAGATATTTACTATTCTAAAAATTGCATTTTTCTCTTCTAAAAAATAAATGCATTTTTATCAAAAGTAATTTCAACATGTAGAAATTTTATTAAACATGGAATATTTTCTCTAGTTTGTACTTTCCTCTTTATGAAACCAATTCTTGGAATTATAAAGGCTACTACAAATAATTTTCCATTTTTTGTTTTCTTTCTAAGGGCCCTTTCCCTACATTTACACAAAGCTAGATAAAGGAACACTTAGGAAGCTCAAAACAGAGACAATGTATATGTATATGCAGTATGATTTTATACAAAAAAGGAATCATTATTCGTTTTTTAAAAGAACATGTATTAGGAGTATTAGGAAGTTCATATATTAGTGTCAGTAGACAGATTGTCTTCAACTAGAGCAAGTGACCAAAAGCCAAAGCAAGCATAGCTCATAAATTGTGGCAGATTAACTTTTATTGTCAAGATAGGAATTAAAATAAAGTCTGTATAGTTGAGCTAAATGAATCGAAATTCCTTCTGTAGTTCTAATACTTATTCTCCTTAGTTTTAGTCACCTGCCGTAGGTAAAGACAGAAATTCTGTGGGTTTCTGGGTTGGTTCAGCTTCTCTTCCTTTGACCACAGTTACATTCATGTTCTTTTCAACCGGCAACTTGCTGTCTTAGAGCAAATGACCCTAAAGAGGTGAGTCATACCAAACAAGTGAAGGTTATCTTATAGTACTGATGCCTTCAACTATCAAGTAGTAATTTTTATGTCATATAACCCCTCTATTTTCATCATTTCCTCTTAGTGGCTAAGAAAATTATAAGGGCTTTGTAATAATTGAAAGACTCAATTACTATACCTCTTCTATTTTCTTGGGAGAAGTTTCACTTTTATTACTTTTGAATTCTTCATTTATCTTTATTCTGGCTGCTAGAGAAAGAAAAAAAATATGTAATTATTTCTTTTCTAATTCATAATTCCTATCCCAAGAATGTATATGTTACTTGTTATAAATGACTACTTCTCTAGTAGTCGAAATAGTTTTGCCCCATGTGAAACTAATTCTAAAAAATTAGCTATTTATTTAAAAAGTGTCCTGGAAGCCTTTGACAGGCTGGCAAATTTGTAATTAAACCTAATGTATTCTAATACTTTTGTTTCCTGCTTTTTACTTCCAAGTTCATTTGTATACTTATAGCTATCAGATTCCAATGAATAATTTTCAATGCTTTCTTTCCATGAATCTAAAAATTTAAATTAAATGCCTTAAGATGGCAAAACTCAATAACTCAATACATACAAGCATGTTAAATTTCACACACACACAAATAAAATAAAGACACAGTAGCAAAATATATATATAAGTGGTTTGGGTGGCATGTAAAGTGAATGATAAATAAACCTTTTGTTCCTGTATACCACTGACACTTTGACATGATTATAGCATAATATAGTCTAATCTGAAACTGTCTTATTGTTGCTGTGAGCATATAATGGAACAACCCATGTAAAGTGCATGGTAATTATGCAATGTTAGTTGTTCTCATATCATTTAATAACACTTAAAATGTTGTTGATGGAGAAGAGTCAGAAAACCTTCCTTCTATGCTTTATATATTTCAGTATAAGGTGGTGAAGATTGGGATTTGGAGTCAAACTGCTTAGGCTAATTCCCAGGTCTACCTCTTACTACTAAGATGTGGGACAAATCCTTTCACATTTTGTCAGTTTTTTCCCACTGGAAAAAAAAACAGAAATTATAACAGTAACTACCTCACAGGGATCTATGAAGATTTAAATGAATTTGGTAAAGTATATATAATATGAAATACACACTTTAACGTTCCAGAAATTATTCTTGGTGAATTACAAAAACTTGAATTCCTGATGGGGATACTACCTAGGTGTATCCTAGGTGCCCTCTTAAAGAGCTTCAGAAATCTATGTAGTACTGCACATGACCAACACAGAACCTAAGCTTTAGAGCTATGACTTCCAGATATTATAGAAGCCACTTAAAACGTGAAATAATAAGTCTGCAATCATTTGGAATACATTCTCTTTCATAGCTGCTATCACTTCTAGAATGATATAATATGGAAGTAAGTATCTGGTCCTAGAGAGTGTGAAAATGTGGTTATATAATAGAGAAGTAAGTTTAATGACTTGACAAGCAATGGAGCATGCTGAAATTCTGATGTTTTCTGATTCTTTATGAAAACTTGATCTTTGAAAATTTTTCTTTAAGTATATACTTCTCAAACTAGTATAAAGTAAAGTAATCTTTATAAAACGTAACATTACAGGAAAGATGTGAAGATCATTCTCTAAGATGGGTCTTTTTTTAAAAAAAAAAAAGATTTTATTTATTTATTCATGAGAGACACAGAGAGAGAGGCAGAGACACAGGCAGAGGGAGAAGCAGGCTCCATGCATGCAAGGAGCCCCATGCAGGATTCGATCAGGGACCCTGGGATGATGCCCTGAGCTGAAGGCAGACGCTCAACCACTGAGCCATCTAGGTGTCTGTACCTCTAAGATGGATCTTGATCATACAAGTTCTCTTGGATATATCAGTAGCCATGTGAAGAATGGACTTACTCCAAAGTGGCAAAAAATAAACCTACCTTTTTAATTTTTTTTAAAGATTTGGTTTATTTATTCATGAGAGACACACACACAGAGAGAGAGAGAGACAGAGACACAGGCAGAGGGAGAAGCAGGCTCCATACAGAAGCCCGACATGGGACCCGATCCTGGGACCCCAGGATCACGCTCTGGACTGAAGGCAGGTGCTAAGCCGCTGGGCCACCCAGGGATTCCCTAAACCTACCTTCTAATGCTTTGGTATCATTTTTAAAAACCTGTTGTCTGGTCCTGTGTAATGTTTTAAAGAGCTGTAAAACCTGTAAAAAAAAAAAAATCAGAATTCAGACATTAAAAGAAAAAAGATTTATATTTTATGTAATTACAAGGTTTACAAAGTGTTTGTTTTCTGCTACTTAGACTATTTTTCAAAATAGCTGGTGAAAACCAGCGTTTGCCAAACAGCTTTCCCTTCGTTATTTACTTTTAGATTGTAAAAAATTAGCTTTATTTACAAAAATAATACCAAATTCTTTGAAAAAGAAAAACAACAAAGGATGGTTAAAAAACGTTAATAATCTCTCTGCCAAAATCAGACTGCTATAGTAACAAACTTTGTCTGGTATGTATTTGTTCTCACATTTCTTAACATACTGAGGCCTTTCATCTGCTCTTAAAGTTTACACACAGATACACAAACTCATGAACTTATTATATCTTACGAGAGCCCAGAAGAAAGATGTTTCAGATAATTTAGTAAAATGTAATTGTGATTTCCCAAAGAGAAGTAGAATGCTGATACTTCAGAATATAATAAGACTGTTAAAAAAATAGAAGAGCCTGACATTTTGGTAGAAGACAGATTGTGTAGAGGCTTTGGTGTTAGGCCAAGCCTACCTCATACTTATCAGGTTTAAAAACGTACTCAATATTGTTCCCTCAATATTGCTTTTTCTCCTGTCTTCTCAATTGTAGAGAATAGAAGACACTGAGTTTTTCAAGTTGGAAATCTCTAGGCAATTCTTTAAATCTACATTACTCTTTGTGTAGAAATTTTAGGAATGCTTAATGTTTTTGATATTCTCCATCCCTGAAAATTATTTAAGTTCAGACCCTCCCATCTCCTGTTTAGACTACTTAACACAGATTTGTCACTCTGCCACTATTCCCTCCTTTCCTTCAATCCATTCACTAGATAAAATAGCTAATATTTATTTACTAAGTATACCCTGTGTGCTAGGCAGTTTTAGGTATTTACATATATTAGAAAATCTACGGGATCCCTGGGTGGCGCAGCGGTTTGGCGCCTGCCTTTGGCCCAGGGCGCGATCCTGGAGACCCGGGATCGAATCCCACGTCGGGCTCCTGGTGTATGGAGCCTGCTTCTCCCTCTGCCTGTGTCTCTGCCTCTCTCTCCCTCTCTGTGTGCCTATCATAAATAAATAAAAAAAAAAAAAAAAAAAAAAAGAAAATCTATAACATGAAAGGCAGACATCAAAACAGAAACAGGAAACATGGAGCAAAAAACATAAAAACAAAAATTAAACCACAATGAACTTCCTCAGAAACATAAGTAACTGCAAAGATGGAATGACAACAAAAAGAAATCATAGTAGGGGATCCCTGGGTGGCGCAGTGGTTTGGCGCCTGCCTTTGGCCCAGGGTGCGATCCTGGAGACCCGGGATTGAATCCCACGTCGGGCTCCCGGTGCATGGAGCCTGCTTCTCCCTCTGCCTATGTCTCTGCCTCTCTCTCTCTCTCTCTGTGTGTGACTATAATAAAAAAAAAGAAAAAAGAAAAAAAAGAAATCATAGTAAATTAAAAAAGGAAAGTTCAGAAAACGCCTCAAAGCTCTCAGACATCAAATGAATGATAGCAAATATTAAGGTGAGAAAAAACAGCCAAGAGATAGAATAAAAACACAGAAATTGAGGGGAGAAATGAAAATTAAGGGAGTAGTCTAGATGGACCAACAGTGGGATGCCTGGGTAGCTCAGCGGTTGAGCATCTGCCTTTGGCTCAGGGAGTGATCTTGGGGCCCAGGGATGGAGCTCTGCACAGAGAACCTGCCTCTCCCTCTGCCTATGTCTCTCTGCATCTCTCATGAATAAATAAGTATCTTTAAAAAAAGGGGGGGGAGGAGGGGCAAGATGGCGGAAGAGCAGGGTCTCCAAATCACTTGTCCCCACCAAATTACCTAGATAACCTTCAAATCATCCTGAAAAATCTACGAATTCGGCCTGAGATGTAAAGAGAGACCAGCTGGAATGCTACAGTGAGAAGAGTCCGCGCTTCTATCAAGGTAGGAAGACGGGGGAAAGAGAAATAAAGGAACAAAAGGCCTCCGAGGGGGAGGGGCCCCGCGAGGAGCCGGGCTGAGGCCGGGGCGAGTGTCCCCAGGACAGGAGAGCCCCGTCCCCTCCCGGAGGAGCAGGAGCTGCACCAACCTTCCCGGGCGGGCGGAAAGGGGCTCGCAGGGAGTTAGAGCAGGACCCAGGAGGGCGGGGATGCCCTCGGGCTCCCTGGGACACTAACAGACACCTGCGCCCGGGAGAGCGCCCCGAGCTCCCTGAAGGACTGCAGCGCGCACGGCGGGACCCGGAGCAGCTCGGAGGGGCTCGGGCAGAGGAAGAGGCTCCGTGTGGAGGGGGCTGCGCGGCTCCGGGAGCAGCTCGGAGAGGCTCGGCCCCGCTCCGCGGAGGGGGCTGCGCGGCCGGGAGACCGAATCCAACAGCGCAGGCCCTGAGCACTGGACGCCCGGACACAGCCCAGGATCCGGCCTCCCCCCGGGACAGGCAGAGGCCAGGAGGGCCCAGGACAGCAAGGACGCTCCTGCCCCGAGCTGAGCACATCAGCGGCCCCGCTCCCGGAGCATCCAGGCCCCTGCAGACCGAAAGCTCTCGAGCTACTGCGGGAGCTGAAGCCAGGGCTCCAGAGCTGGCCGCCGCCACTGCGGTTGTTCCTCCTGGGGCCTCGGGGTAAACAACCCCCACTGAGCCCTGCACCAGGCGGGGACTGAGCAGCTCCCCCAAGTGCTAACACCTGAAAATCAGCACAACAGGCCCCTCCCCCAGAAGATCAACTAGACGGACAAGTTCCAGGGGAAGTCAAGGGACTTAAAGTCTACAGAAACAGAAGATACTCCCCGGTGTTTTGTTTTGTTTTCTTTTGTTTTTGCTTTTTGATTTGTTTGCTTCCCCCACCCCTTTTTTTCCTTTCTTTCTTTTTCTTTCGTTTTTTCTTCTCTTTTTTCCTTTTTTTCTTCCTTTTTTCTTTTTTCTCTTTTCTTTCCTTTTTTTTTCTCTCTCTTTTTCTCTTTTTCCCAATACAACTTGCTTTTGGCCACTCTGCACTGAGCAAAATGACTAGAAGGAAAACCTCACCTCAAAAGAAAGAATCAGAAACAGTCCTTTCTCCCACAGAGCTACAAAATCTGGATTACAATTCAATTTCAGAAAGCCAATTCAGAAGCACTATTATACAGCTACTGGTGGCTCTAGAAAAAAAGCATTAAGGACTCACGAGACTTCATGACTGCAGAATTTAGATCCAATCAGGCAGAAATTAAAAATCAATTGAATGAGATGCAATCCAAACTAGAAGTCCTAACGACGAGGGTGAACGAGGTGGAAGAACGATTGAGTGACATAGAAGACAAGTTAATGGCAAAGAGGGAAACTGAGGAAAAAAGAGACAAACAATTAAGGGACCATGAAGACAGATTAAGGGAAATAAATGATAGCCTGAGGAAGAAAAACCTACGTTTAATTGGGGTTCCCGAGGGCGCCGAAAGGGACAGAGGGCCAGAATATGTATTTGAACAAATCCTAGCTGAAAACTTTCCTAATCTGGGAAGGGAAACAGGCATTCAGATCCAGGAAATAGAGAGATCCCCCCCTAAAATCAATAAAAACCGTTCAACACCTCGACATTTAATAGTGAAGCTTGCAAATTCCAAAGATAAAGAGAAGAACCTTAAAGCAGCAAGAGACAAGAAGTCCCTGACTTTCATGGGGAGGAATATTAGGGTAACAGCAGACCTCTCCACAGAGACGTGGCAGGCCAGAAAGGGCTGGCAGGATATATTCAGGGTCCTAAATGAGAAGAAAATGCAACCAAGAATACTTTATCCAGCAAGGCTCTCATTCAAAATGGAAGGAGAGACAAAGAGCTTCCAAGACAGGCAGGAACTGAAAGAATATGTGACCTCCAAACCAGCTCTGCAAGAAATTTTAAGGGGGACTCTTAGAATTCCCCTTTAAGAAGAAGTTCAGTGGAACAATCCACAAAAACAAGGACTGAATAGATATCATGATGACACTAAACTCATACCTTTCAATAGTAACTCTGAACGTGAACGGGCTTAATGACCCCATCAAAAGGCGCAGGGTGTCAGACTGGATAAAAAAGCAGGACCCATCTATTTGCTGTCTACAACAGATTCATTTTAGACAGAAGGACACCTGCAGCCTGAAAATAAAAGGTTGGAGAACCATTTACCATTCAAATGGTCCTCAAAAGAAAGCAGGGGTAGCCATCTTTATATCCGATAAACTAAAATTTACCCCGAAGACTGTAGTGAGAGATGAAGAGGGACACTATCTCATACTTAAAGGATCTATCCAACAAGAGGACTTAACAATTCTCAATATATATGCCCTGAATGTGGGAGCTGCCAAATATTTAAATCAAGTAATAACCAAAGTGAAGAAATACTTAGATAATAATACACTTATACTTGGTGACTTCAATCTAGCTCTTTCTATACTCGATAGGTCTTAGAAGCACAACATCTCCAAAGAAACGAGAGCTTTAAATGATACACTGGACCAAATGGATTTCACAGATATCTACAGAACTTTACATCCAAACTCAACTGAATACACATTCTTCTCAAGTGCACATGGAACTTTCTCCAGAATAGACCACATACTGGGTCACAAATCTGGTCTGAACCGATACCAAAAGATTGGGATCGTCCCCTGCATATTCTCAGACCATAACGCCTTGAAATTAGAACTAAATCACAACAAGAAGTTTGGAAGGACCTCAAACACGTGGAGGTTAAGGACCATCCTGCTAAAAGATGAAAGGGTCAACCAGGAAATTAAGGAAGAATTAAAAAGATTCATGGAAACTAATGAGAATGAAGATACAACCGTTCAAAATCTTTGAGATGCAGCAAAAGCAGCTCTAAGGGGGAAATACATCGCAATACAAGCATCCATTCAAAAACTGGAGAAAACTAAAATACAAAAGCTAAACTGACACATAAAGGAGCTAGAGAAAAAACAGCAAATAGATCGTACACCCAGCAGA